ATGGAAGGCCCAAATGGGACCACCACCACCCCCTCCCCCGCCCCCGATAGCGCACATGTGCAGAGCACCTCCCCATCCAACAGCAGCTCCCCTCTGACCCGGACAGGGACCAACAACGTGCCAGGTAGGAAAATCCAGCTTTATTCTGCACAAGTGCAAAGCACCCTCTCCCCTCCTCATCCAATAGCAGCTCCCCTCTGACCCGGACAGGGACCAACAACGTGCCAGGTAGGAAAATCCAGCTTTATTCTGCACACACAAAGCCAAAAGCCACCTGAAAAGAAAAAGGGGCATTGCCCCTCCCCCAGCGCTGGGCGAACACTCGAGCCAACACCCCCTCGCCCCAGCGATCCTGAAACACGGTTGGGGACGCCAAGGGGACTCGCTCCCCCTCGATGCAGCGGCGAACAAGAGCAGAACCTGGCCTCAGAGACCAAAGGCAGTAGAGGAATTGGCCACGCCCACCTGGCACAGGCCACGCCCACTGCATAAAATCTATTTGCTTGCTGGGGTAACTTAAAAACCTAAATGCTCCTCCAGTCTCCGTAGGAAGCCCTGAGTGTGCCGCTCTCACAGGCCAGAGAAGAGGCCAAAGGGTTATTCAGAGAAGGGGGAGCCAGGCCGCCAAGGACCTGGGACAGCCCTGTTTCTCAGTCTTTCCCCACTCAGTCTCCTCCTGCCCCCACACCACGGCCTGGTTCTTGCCTCCGATCCCAGAAGATCACTTGTCCTCCTGCAGCCAGCGAGGAGGGAAGGGGATCAGGGCCGTCCTCCCCAGTTGGTGGATGGGGAAACTGAGGCACGGGAGGCATCACGGCTAAGGAGAGAGCTGCGGTGCTCCTGGCGCCCCCGGCCTGCATTCCGAAGCCAGCCTCCTCCCCTTCCCCCCAGTCTACGGGGGAGCAGGGGAGGCACCTTGGGGCAGCCGAAACCAAGGGGAAGCTCTAGGAGGGAGGACAGGCCTGAGAGCAGCTGGCTGGCAGAACAGGGCGCTCCCAGTGTGTGTGTGGGGGGGACAGGCCCCCAACCCCCGTTCGCTCCTGGCGCCCCCGGCCTGCATTCCGAAGCCAGCCTCCTCCCCTTCCCCCCAGTCTACGGGGGAGCAGGGGAGGCACCTTGGGGCAGCCGAAACCAAGGGGAAGCTCTAGGAGGGAGGACAGGCCTGAGAGCAGCTGGCTGGCAGAACAGGGCGCTCCCAGTGTGTGTGTGGGGGGGACAGGCCCCCAACCCCCGTTCTGCACCACGGCACGTCCACACGAGGCCGCCCACCTGGGGAATCGGAGCCGCCCAGGAGACAGGCTGCAGCCGGGGCTGCCCTGCCGGGCTCTGACCCATTTCCCA